TACTAGGAATAATTTATGCATTAATGTATCTCTTTTATCATAGTTCCTTCAGGCATTCATTTTCCTTCCATGAAGTTAGTGCCACATTGCTAATAGAAGACAATCTTCAATATTGACTGAAGTCAATATAAAAGATTGCAAAAATCTATTTTATGCTAGCTTTGTTAGGTTTTCTTCTTCTTTCTACTATATGTATTTTTTTAGCTTTTTGAATTTATTTGGGACTCTTGTTATTTGTAGGGCAATTATTTTTTGTCCAATGGCATTACTTCGTAAATATGTTCAAAACTGATAACATTTAGTTATTCATGTTGATCAGTTCTTTGGCATATACTGTATATAAATTTTCAATATATTTTATCAGAGTTAAATTTAAAAGATACAATCTTCTTTTGCTTACTTTAAGCAGAACTGAGCTGTAATTTTAAGAATTTTGTACACAAAATAAATATTTACAATTACTATGATATTTCTTTTTATGCAGAAATGATTAAAACTTATGCAATGATGCAACTTATAAATAATAATTTTTCTCTCTTATCAATGTTGCCTTGAGCAATCCAAATGCTGTTCAGAAGACGACATGACTTGTTCATCTGCTTCCCTGGTTTTGCCCCTAGATGGACTAAAGGTTGTACAATATGCTGCACCAATAGAGGAAATATTTTCTGAGAAATTCTAGTTTCAGGTTACATAAGACATTCAAAAACAAAATTAATATTTTTTAAAAATCTTTTCATAGCAGCATTCCAACAATTGATTTGTTCAGAAATGATAATTTTTGTGTTCAAAATTGACGAGTACCTGTTATGATTCTGAGTTAAACCAATTGAGTATTTGCCAAATAATCAAAACTATTATCAATTTTCAAGTAAACATATGTATATAAATATCTTTTGGTGAGTATTTTTATGTTCTATTATATTATTAATGTTGAGTTAATATCATGAATAATTATATTAATACATTACTACATTTAATATTTTAATTTGATACATTTTTAAATCTGTTGTTAAAATAAATGGTTTTGATAAATGTTTATATACTGTACATATATCATCACTTTGTCACAAAGACGAGTTTGCTAGAACATATTTCTTTTTGTTTAGTGAACAGACGTTTTATGTAAGAAATAAGTTTGACAACAGGTGATAGGCATGACCACATGAATATAGAAAGTCATGCATTGGCATTAATTATACTTTACCTCCAGGAAACAGGTTATAACCGAAGATTGAAGGTGTGTTTTCCAGATTGGTTTAAAGGTCATTAAAAGCTTGGGAATTCTTTCCTAAAAAATATCTGATGACAAAGTAGATCCAGATTTTTGGTGAATTATATTTTATTTCATTTTATGAAATAATTTTTTTTACGAAGAAATTACTATTACAGTTGAGTATTATGTTTTATATAAATTGGTTTATTGCATCTAAAATTATTTACATAGAAGAAAATGTATATTTTTCTCAATATAAAATAAAGCATATTGGTTTTTGAAGTCAAAATAATTTATTAATTTAAGTACTCAAATGTTTTTTGAACTATATTGAATTCAGCCTTGAATAAAAGAATTTGCACTTCAAGTAATTGAAAATCATTAAGTTCTTATTAATTTGTTTTAACTTTAAAAATAAGATTTCTGTTAATTTACTATTTTTTTATTTTTTTTTTTTTTTACAAATAGAAATTGTTAGAAAACATACTGGTTTATTTTAAAGGGTAAATTTTGTAGTAAATATTTAATTTATTTTAAAATGAAATTCTTAACTCCTCATTAGATAAAATGACTATTACCAAATATTTATAAAAGATGAGAGTATTTATTTGTAATGATACTAAGAATGAAATTTTTATTTTTGAAAAACATGTAAAGGAATTTGAAGTGTATTTAAATATTGGTAAAATACATGAGTTTACCAAGACAAATTGGAACATAGAAACAGGTTCTGTATTGTAATGAAATAAGTCATTGTTATCGTCGTCGTGATCATCATCACTTTTTATTTTAGACCAGTTTGTTTTGATTCATTATTTGTTAGTGATGTAAATACCTTAAATTATTTGTAAGTTTTCTATACACAGTTGATGTGATTATAAATTTCAGAGTGATCCCTATTTGACACTTTCTGGAGAGGTATTTAGCATTCCAAATGAAATCAAATCTGATAGTGTTGCAATTTTTACTTTTATGGTAATTTTAGTGCTATAAACAATGAAAAAGCAAGTTTTTCCTTTGTATGAGTACATATGTTGCAGCAAAGTTCTGAGTGTAAAAGTAGCAGCAACTGTTGAATGTCATTCTTATCAACTACAATGACTCATCTTGTCAGAAAGCACATTTTTTATGAAGCTGTTTTATAAATACAATGACATTGCTGCAGATGCACTTCCAGAATTTTGCCTTTATGGGAATTTGTACTGAGGGTCATTGACTCCAAAAGTTCTCAGGAGAATGATCATTTGATTTAGATAAACTGGATTACCTTATTGATCTTTCTTGCCATGGAAGATCCTGTGAGACATATTTTCACCACAGTGGAACAACATGAACATTCACAACTGTTACATTTGGGCCACAGAAAAACTTCATGTTTATCTGAATATTCCACTGCATTCACCTAAAATTAATATGGTTTGGATTTACAGCCACATTTATCCTTGGACCATTATTCTTCAAAGAAGCTTGCTCTAATGGGCTTATGGCATGCTCTGTGATGGCCTAGAGATACTGAGATATGCTGAACACTTGTTATACCCCAACTGCAATGGCAACAGTGCCTTGAGTCAACTATCTTCATGCAAGATGAACTGCCTTTGTGTATCAGATGCTGCATATCTCATTTCATTAGTAACAGAGGAATTAGTCATGCATTCTCAACCACCTCATTACCTTTGTTCTTCAGATCTTCATTGATGTGACTTTTTGTTATGATGATACTTAAAAAGTGTGGTTTATTGAGGGCACGTCGATCATCTGTCAGGCTTGAAAGTATCACAATGCACGTGAGAATCATTATCAACAATCAGTTACAGTTGGCAATTGAACACACTGTTCATTACCTTTAGGTTTTAATTTTTAAAATAACTATTTTGAGCAGTACCTCTGCATCATTAACGTCTCTATGTAGTAGGACTGTCTTGTACAAATAAATGTTTGTTGCTTGCAGTGCCATAGTGGTAGGTTTTGGTACTATTTTATTTTTACAGAAATGTCTACTGCATTTCTTCAAAAGTTACCATACCAGATTTAGTTTCATTTGGATTGCTAAATATTTCTCTAGACAGTGCTAAGTAGACAGTATTTTTTGGTCATGGGGACACTTATTGAGAACATTGTGCAAGTTTAGCAGGCTTGAAAGACAGTAACTCAAAATTCATATGAGAAGCATCACATACAAGCTGGTCCTTGACAATTATGTTGAACTTTAATTAAGATCACTTTGTGTATCTGATTATGGCAATTTATTCTAAAATCAATTAACGAATTTATTTTAGAATAAATCAAAAAATATATTTCTGTTATGAATATATTTAAGTTGCCTTGATATGTTATAGAATTAATTTCATTTGAAGTTAACAAATAAAATATAAAAGCTATAAAATTTACTTCTGTAAACTTTACAATAATTTTTAATTTAGAAATTTAAATTTTATTTTGAAGTATATAAAAGTGTTGTTTGAAAAATTCATATTATTTGAAAGTGTTAGTGAAAATAATTGGTTGAAATGTTTTTATCAACAAAATGTCAAATCTGTTTTTACATTTTAATGTATATAAATATTTTTAGATTAAATGAAGATAAACATAATAAAATTTAGTTTATTTAATTGTATACTTTGTTTTTTCTAAATTATGAAAAAGTTTCAATACTTTAGCTGAGACATAATTCAGTTTTTGCAGTTACTTTTTGAATGAGATGATGTGCACATTAAAATAATGATAAACCGCAATGTTGGTTAATAAATTAAAAACCATATTTCCTGGTATTATGTTGTAATTAAAATTCATTGCTTTGGCTGACTGACTGATCATCATCAGACTTTTTCAGAAAATAAATAGAAATTAATCAAATATTTTGAAAAGACATTGTTATATCTTTAAATATTTGAACAAAATTGTAAGAAAGTATATACTTTGTGTGAATAGAATTTGTTTTACAAATTTGAAGTCTAAATGTAAAGATTATTTCAGTCTTCAAAAGATATTTACTTGGTTGAGATATTTACACTTAAATCTCTGATTATTTGAAATTAAGTTAGAAATATTTTTAAAATAAAAACTGAATTAATAGTCCATACAATTTTATTTGTTAAATATTAAATGTCAATACAATGTTTTTTAAAAATAAAATAAAATTATACAGAAATTTTAACACCGGAATAGATAAATTACTCAACTTCACTGCCTGTAACCGGCATTCTTCTTCTCCAATACAGAGGACTTTGCAAACGTTTTCGAACCTAATGTGGTTCTTCTTCAGGCTCTATGGAATTTCCTATATGAATTCGAATTTTACCTGAAGAAGAACCACATTAGGTTCAAAAACGTTTGCAAAGTCCTCTGTATTGGAGAAGAAGAATGCCGGTTACAGGCAGTGAATTTGGGTAAAATAAAATTAGTAATAAATTTTAAATTTACATTAGAATAATTAGTAATTGAAACTTCACTTATTTAAATTATAAATTCTTATACAGAATTGCCAACAATGTTAATAAAGAACAACTATAAGAAGAAAGAAGAGTTAAACAAATAGTTTAAAAACACAAGTATTGGTTGCATCATATCATTGATCTATTTAGTATTAATACTTGATATTGTCCAGTTAATTCTATTGTATTTAATGACAGCATTTCATGTATTATTCACATTTACAAAATTAATTTTGAAAAGGCAAAACTTTGATAGAATTATATAGTCAAGTAATTTTAAAATTCAGCAATTATAATATTATGATTTAGTATATTTTGTGTGTAATTAATTGTACTTTTTAATTAAATAGGTGTATTGGTTGTGAATGTAACATGGAGAGGGAAAACCTATGTTGGTACTCTCCTGGACTGTACAAAACATGACTGGGCTCCACCTAGATTTTGTGAATCACCTACAAGTGATATAGATGCTAAGACTTCCAAAGCACGTGGAAAGAGAGGAAGAGGATCAACTGGTACATCTAGTGAAGGTAATAATTATAATGACTCTAGAGCAACTGTCCAGAGTAAATTAAGAAACTGTAAAGGACGCAGGAGTGCTTCTAATAATAGCAGTTGTACTAACTCAGGGTTCACGGTACCTAGTAGTCCAGCAAAAAGTGAATCGGGAACATCAAATAATGGTAAAAGAAAGGGACGGCCAAATGATTTGGAATTAAGTCCAGCACAACCGGATAGTAAAAGTACCAAAAGAAGTCGATCACAGTCGAGAAGCACTCCTACTCCTAATAGTAGCAGTGCTCCAGTGGACTTTCCTCAACCGTCCTCACCAGTTCTGATAGAATGCCCAGAACCAAATTGCAGTAAAAAGTACAAACATATCAATGGTCTTCGGTATCATCAGACACATGCCCATAGTAATCCTGAAGCAGGAAAAATTGATGATATATTAGAAGATGGCAAAGATGCAACAAATAGTTCAGATAATGAAGAAAATTTGCAGGATAGTACAAGTGTGCCTCCTAGTCCTGCTATAACTCCTTTTTCTACTTCAGTTTCACCTCATCACCATCATGAATCAAATAATAGGACTTTATCCACATCTGAAACTATATCAATTTTAGAAATTAATACACCATCAGAAGGTGAAAATTATTCAGAAGCAACAGATTTGTCAACACTTGCTTCAGTTGCAATTAATGATTCCAAGAAAAATAGTAATTTTGTTCATCTTAGTGGTACAAACAATCAGTTAAATTCTGTTATAAAGTGCCAGGAAAATAACGACACTTCATCAAATTCAGAAGGAACTAAACCTGTATCAGTTAATATGCCCATATCAGGACCTGCTTCTAATATTTCATCTCATGTTGGATTAACTCAAAGTCCGTCATCATCATCATCGTCGTCATTGTCTTCATCTTCCCTTGTAAACTTTGTAACATCAGCAACTACTGCAGATATTCCTTCTGTAACGGTTAGCATTCCTACATCTCATGTTTTATTTAACCAGACTTCTACAGTAGGAAGTGGAAGCACAACCACAACCACTTCCTTAGTGAACCTAACATCAAGTGCTGCAATGTCTGTACAGTCAAATAACATAGCTACTTTCTTTTCACCACCTGTAGCTGTATCTTCGTCGGTATCTTCAGGGACAGTTGATAAGAGTAAGTTAGAAAAAACAGAGAAGTATAAATTAAAGTCTTCTAGTTCTACGACAGTAAGACCTGTTATTTCAGTTCCACCAACACAAGTTCTTCCCCTTTCGAATAATAACAGTGCACCACAGACAGGTACCTCTCATCAACATGTTACATCATCATTGAAACCAATTCAACCGAAACCAACTATTTTAGGAGAACCAACAACAATTAATCCAGCTCTTGAAGGTTTAAAGAAAGAGAAATCTAAACATAAGAAAAAGAGTAAAGAGAGAGATAAAGAAAGAAAAGGAAATTCAACAAATTTACAATCAAGTAAATCACAGGTTTTACAGTCAGCAGATGAAAATGACAGAATTGGAAGACCTTTTGAGGGTTTAGATACAACAATAGCCAAAAATGTTAATAATACTGCCAGTTCTTCAAATGTTCAACAAAAACAGATTGTTTCATCATTAGGAAATACACAGTCATTAAATTCTGATTCAAATCCTGCTGATTCTAGCAATATAAATGAGAATGTTCAAAGTCCTGCTTACTCTGATATATCTGATGCCAATGATAGTGCACCAGTACTTGAGTCAGAGGTTCCAAGTAATAAAGACAAGGATGAAGTTAAATCTCCGCCAGAAGTTGTATCTCAAGCCGCTGCAGCTAGTCTTAGTACTTACGGAATGTATACATATTATAGTCAACCCCCATATTTGATTCCTTCAGTTCCTCAAAATTCTGTTCCATCTGCTACTCTGAATGTAGAAAAGAATGATACTGAAAAGAAATCTGAAACAGAGAGAAATAAGGAAGTTAGAAACTGGAACTGTCCACAAGAAGTTAAAATTGAAAATAGTAATGTTTCACAGGAGAAAACAGAAAAGAAAAGTTCTACTGAAGAAGTTACAACACCAACAAATATTGCACCGCCATCTGCCGTATCTAATAGTGGTCAACAGGAATATCCTATTCAACAACAGTATGCCTATCCTTATGGTTATATGCAAGGATATCCATATTCTGTTGATGCTACCTATCATATGCATTTATTAGCAACAGATCCCCATTACAAACAACAGTATGAACATTTCATTGAAGAACAGGAACGATTGTATCGAGAACAAGCAGAACGGCAGCATAAGGAGCAAACAGAAAGACAACATAAGGAACATGTTGAAAAACAACAAAAAGAACAAGAGCGACAACACAAAGAACATGTGGATAAACAGCATAAAGAACAAACAGAAAGACATCACAAGGATCATGTAGAAAGACAACATAAAGAACAAATAGAGAGGCAACATAAATTACACATTCAACATTCTCAGATAAGAAACAAAGAAGAACGAAGTCGTGAAAGCAGGGAGAAAATTTCTGAAGATAAAGGAATTCATCCACCTTTATCTGTTCCTCCAGATGTGAATAAACAAACTTCTGCCAGCAGTGCTGTGATAACTAGTAAGGACAGAGAAGTTCGGCCTCCTTCTCATCCCTCACAAAATAGGGTTGAAAGTTCTGTGACACCTTCTGTTTCTCCCGTAGTTACAGCTACAACTCCTTTAAAAGACAAACAAAACGAAAACCATCAAATATTGAAAGAAAATATTGAATTAAAATCTCAGATGGATGCTGGTAAGGTAAAACTGTCACAGTATGAAGCAGCAATGCTTTATGAGAGACAGAGAGAAGAAATGAGACGATATTATATAATGCAAGAACGTTTAATAGATCAACAAAAATTAGAGACTGAACATTCACAGACTCAGTTACAGGGAAGAAAAGATGAAATGTTTAATACTGTAGTCATTAAAAATAAGCCCTGTAATATGTCTGAATCAACAAGACCAACTTCAGTCATACTTTCACCAAAATCAGAGTCCACAAAATCATTGTCATCTAGTCCAAAAGGGAATTCACGAGAACAGACTTTATTTCCTAAAGAATACACTAACAATTCTTCATCAAGCAAAAAAGAAAGTGGAGCATCTAGTAAGACATCTGAACATGCAGAATCTAGTGCTCGTGAAGATAAACATAAAAGTGATAAGGGAAAGATACATAATGAAGGTCAAAAGCCAACAATGGAAACAACGGGTCCTCCGCCACCTCCAACCAACAGCTATGCTTATCTTCAGCCATCTTATCTTCAACCTACCCATTCACATTTTGCACACATACCATTTGATCCTTTATATAGAGGTAGTTTAAGTCCAATGTTAATGTCTACACCTCCTCATTATGGTAGTTCTCATTATTTGCATTCTCAGTTGCGCTATCATGTGCCTTCAGCACCCTGTGACATTCCACCACATAATCAAGGTATGCCAGACAGTTTGGGTCCAAAATTACATCCGACAGGTTCAGCTAAAGCTTTAGATCTTTTACATCAAGTATCACAACATTATACCTGTTCGACACACAAAATTCATGAATTGCACGAAAGAGCGATAATGTCTCCCACAACGAGTACAAATTCTTCCACACCTACGGCATCCACGCAGAATAAAGCTAGTAGTTCGGAAGCAACATCGAGCAGTTCTAAGCAAGAAGTAAACAACACAAACGATAGGAGTCAATCACCTCCACCTCAACGACATCTGCATACTCATCATCATACGCACGTAGGAGTTGGTTATCCTCTTTATGATCCTTATGGTGGTAAGTCAAACTTTTTCTAATAATTTATTAAATGTGTACATTTTAGAAATTTTCGTAAAATTTTAATTTGAAAAATTAAAGATTATACATTTGAATTTCATTCCGAAAGTGTCTTATAAAGAATCTTACTGTTATTGTGTTTCAGGCTTAACGATAGAAAATTATTCATAAAATATTGTTAATTACTGTACAGTATTAGAAAAACTGTTGTCAGTTTCAAAAAATTATGTAACATAGACTAATAAAACATAATTAATTGCTAGATTTCTGTTTATAAGACATTTTCTTTTATATATTTACTGATGAATTTTAATAAATCAATATTTATCTTTTATTACATATTATTGTTTTCTGTCATTTTGTATTAATATTAATGGTTTTTCTTAAATTTATTTATAAGAAATATACATTAATAATTATATATTTAAGGTCAATAACCCTTTGTGCTCCATATTTACATAACTTTGAGTTATTTTTCCATAATAATGATAGTGTAGAGAATTATCATTGTTACTTAAAACAAAAATAATGACAAATATGTATGTGAAGTGGCATATAAAAAATGTTTTGCATTTCAAAAATGCCATACATCTTTTATATTCAAACTTTTAAAGCAAACTTGCATTTCTCAAATTAATATTTGTACATTAGGAGAAGGTTTTTCATTTTTTGTTCATGAGCTAATGATCAGAATTTGAAATTTAAGTGTTGACGTTGATCATCCTGTTATAACCATATTCTTCACTAGAGATTAGCCATGTCCAATTTTGACATATAAATGTTTGTAACATTTTTAGATGAGCAAATTCTATACAAATTCTAGATGATTTGTACAAGTGTAAGGGCAGTTTATGATGTTGTTTGGACCTTTCTCTGCCCCATTATTTATAGTTTTGGGTGAGAAAATTGTATAAATGAATATGAATCGATGAATGGCATATTATGCAAACGAAAAATTGCGTTGTTAATGAATGCTTTAGAAATGAACACACTGCCTTTTTGTAAATTAGTAAGCCATTCATTAAATTTACTTGAAAAAATTTTTAGAAAAATTCAATAGTTGCAGAATTCAGTGACGTAACTAGATGATACATTACTAGGTAATACATTAATTCAAAAGAAAACATGGTTTTTGAAACGCAAAATGTTTTTGCAAACCATCTCATAGATCACATGCAAAATAAACTTCATTCTTATATTGTTGTTGAATTATAAGTGAAGAGAAAAAAAATACTTATTTTCCTGATTATTATTGACTTTTTGCATCAATTTGTATTCTGTTAAAAATTAATGCTTACTCAAACTGTAAATTAGTTCCAAGCTTCTGTTTATATTTTAGTTACACACGCAGAAGCTTGAAACTAATTTACAGTTTGTATCTGTGCATGTTTCTTCCAAGATAATTATTGTTTTTGGACAAAACAGATTTTAGAGATTGTTTTGAATGTATTTTTTTCTTAAGGTTACTAACTTTTAATTGAAAATACAACAGAATAAATAAAACATTGAAATGATTTTATAACCACTTCACTGTTTATTTTGTTTGTGCCGAAAAAAGTTAAATGGCTTTTTGAATATTCAGTTATGAATTATTTCATCAAACACATATTAAAAAAATATATATTTAAGATGTTTTATTAAATTGAATTGAAATTATTCAAAAGTAAACACACAAAATCATACTTATACAGTAAAGTGGAATTGATCAAGCAGACTAGCTATGTGAAATAATTATGTCTAGAGAAATCTTTTAAAAATATCAGAATGTTAGCAAAAACGGATGGAAATAGTATTCTGTCGAGAATTTTACATTCAGTGAGATATTCTAAAAGTAATATATAAAAATTATAAACCAATTTAAAGTAAAATAATTTATTTCTCAAACTTTGAAGATAACTTCAAACATTTTAATTCTTTCACAAGTAACGTTAAGAAAGAATAGATGAATAGCATTTGCGAAAGTATTTAGATATTTTATTAGTATGAATACAATTCAAAATCCTAATGACCGTGATGTCAAATTAATTGGCAAGTCATATTCTGATCAAACCAAATATTTAGCACATTCTATGGCTAGTGTTCAATAAAATATTTATTGTTTTAATGGTTTTTATGAAATACGTGTTAAAAATAGCTTTAAAATACTCTTAATAGTAAAACGTTATTGATTTTTGATAAAATTATGAGAAAATGTCTACAACAGATGAAGAGTTCAACCAAAAAATTTATGTAAATCATGATGATGTTTCACATATGGATTTATGTAAATTTCTAAATCCTGGATAGATGGTGATACAGAAAAAAAAATTATAAAGAGAATTTGCAAGTATTTGAAGGCACGTGTTAATGAGAGTACTGTGCATTCTCATTAACACAAACCAATTTGGTCCTTTTTTAAATTATTTTTATAAGTTTTGAGTTGTGCTTAATTAAAACAAATTAATGCAAATAAAATATGTAGTGCTATATATTAAATAAAGTAGTGAAGGTTTCTTGAAAACAGTCAATCAAGTTTATGCTTCTGTATGTCTAAAATACTGCTTTGCAACTGGATTTTATGCCAACAAAGATGAAGAACAAGAAAAAGCTGTTCCTGGAAGCTTAATTTAACATAAAGATGATGTATTTTCTAGTTTTAACATTTGAATATAATGATCTTACAAAAAAGTCAAAGAAATAAGATTATGTTTTTTTAATGTAAAGATTTGTAAAATTAATATGAACTACATGCTTTAACATATAATCTATACTATATTTGGTACATACATTTAAAAAATTATAAAGGTATATCTATTTATTATAATCTTTTTTTGATTTTCTTTATATTTATGTATTCATAGTAATCTGAACAACCATGTATAAGAAATAGGATTAGCAAGAATATATTGTGTTGGAATTAGACACAGTCAAATTGCTTATCAATAAATAAATTAGATTTTAGTGAACAGCTCAAGTTTTGTCACAAAGTTTAAATAATCTCGTTTGTCAAAGAAAAACATAGATTACGGCATTGTCAACAATTTTTATAAACTCTATGAACAAATTAAGAGATACAAATTTCTGATTAGCAAATTACAGAAACAATAAAAAGTAGTATGAAATTTCAAGTTGTGCAATAATCTGTTCAATATTACTGTTACAAAACTTAAAATATTACTATTACAAAACTCTATTCAGTACAGTGTTTTGCAATATTTTCTACAATATTATATACACATAATATTAATAATAAATATAAATAAATTTATGATTAATTTATCTTTGTTTATCTGAAAACAATGTTAATGGAATAATCATGTTATACATTATGCATTATTCTATTACAAAACACTGTGGAATGATAATGTCAAATAATTGAAAAATCATGTTAAATGTATTCGGTTTATTTTATCAAATTTGTCACTGTTTTCAAAGATTGACAAAACAACGAACAGTTTTGATAGGATAGAAAATAAACCTGTATTTATTAAATTAAGAAACAAAATAAGAAATGATTCCTTTTACAGAAATAAATAAATGATGAGAATTGAATGGAGACAGATACATTTTATCCATGATACAGCAATTCCCTACATGTGCACCGCCAGCAGTTGAAAAGTTAATTACTATTGATTTCTTCCCAGCTTCAAGTATCGGTTTCAATCAGATATGATCAAACATTTAAAAAGAAAACTTTTTCTAGCTTTATTCTTTGCTTGAATTTTAGTAGTTAAAGCAGAAATCTTTGTTAACTTTCATTTGTTAACATTTTGTTACTCTCTACGTTCAAGATGCACACTAATTTGAAACTGCAGTTTTCAGAATCTAGGCAAGAAATCTTACACATTTGCTTGTCATCCAAAAGAATTTACATGTACTAAAGCATAAAAAAAACAGTCTGGAATATTTCACTTAGTTAAAAATATAGAATCTTTCTGTGTCTTTAACATCAATATCGACTGTGTATCCAGGTGGCGAACTTATTTTTCTTAACTGATTTAGTCTAACATATAGTATGCAAATTTAAGTAGATTAAATTTTTAAGTGATTTAACTGTTAATATAAAATATTTACTTCTTTAGCTTTAAATATTATGCTTGAAGTCATAATTTACTTTATGGTTTTAGATATGACTAGTTTTTATTATTTTTGTTTTAGTATATGTAAAACTACTATGTACCGTATTTACTCACATATAAGACGAGGTGTGACTTTAAAGATCAAAATAAAGAAAATTAGATATATTAATACAATTCTAATTTTATTTTGTCTAATCACAAGTAAAATATCAAATGAATGTAAATGCACACATTGTTCCGCAAAAATTACTGGCATTTTAAACTGTAAGGAAAAATCTTGTAAAATCAACGACATAATTTTGTTCATGTAAAGCTGGACAATCGGAAACCTTTTTTTGCCAATTCTTAACAGTCGAATCCACTCTCCGTCGATTACACTTATGAGTTTCTCTGAATTCTGATTTTCGAATAATCATCCGTTTTCACATGGGCATTATCACACGATTTATTAAAATTTAAACCTTGGCATATAAGTTGAAAAAAAAAGTATACCTCTGATCAACAAAATTCAAAAGTGTTGCTTGCTTTATTTACGCATTGTACAGGACTCTACTGTACACAGTTCACAAAAATTATTTTTAAAAAATGCAAAGAATCTTTCACTCATGCATATAGGATGATCTAGGAATTTGAAGCTGTGATAAATGAATGAAAACCTTGTCTTATATACAAGTAAATATAGTATATAGCTAATGACAATGCATGTATTAATATTAAATCTTCTATAAACAAATAAGAAATTTACATCATATAAATTTCATTTTAAAAAGTCCTTATAGTTTATGAATTAAATTATCAGGAGTTAAAGATTTTTTATTATTATTATTATAAAACTTAGCTTTTGTCAAAATTAACTTCAAAGAAATTTGAATATTATTACAGACAACAAATGTATATATTCTCTCATTGAAGTTTCGATTCATGATAAATGTTGGTAATTCTTGAATACTAAAATGTTATAATTTTAAATATGAGGTTTTTTACAGCACTAATTTAAGATTTTAATTATTGCAGTAACTACATTATTTAGTACTCATTATCACAATATTTTACATAAGAAGTGGAAAATATAAACAGTAAATAAAAAAAATTAATAACTTAGTAGTAGCATGTTATAATTTTAAATGTACAAATAACTGCTTTGTAAACAAACTACTATT